CTCGTTCATATTTGAATTATTTATGTCACGCGGACACTTCTACAGTATCAAGATAGTAAATTTTTTTTTTTTTTATAATCAAGAAAAGATTAATAATTGGACTGGATGCTCCTGTAGCGGGCCAGTGTACGCGTTGAGATAAACACGTGTTTCCCCTGAAAATGCCCACAACAAATATGCTAGATTCCAAGTACGAATCTACGTAATGAAATGTAAAGAAACGATATACAGGGTGTCCATAAAGTTCGTCTGCACTTATTATAAAAAACTATAATTTTATTTGTATTTGCGATAGAAATAATTTGTAAAAAGGATTAGAAAGAAGTAATCTATATTTTTTTTTTTTTTTTTTTTTTTTTTTTTAAGGTTTTATTGAAATTTTATTTGTTTCCACATATCCTCCATCATTAGCAATACAAAGGGTAATACGATTTTGCAGTTAAAAACATTTGTCAATTGATTTGTAGTAATGTCTGAAATCACATTAGTTATTTTAGCTATACTTAAAACTAGGTACATTAAACTTTTTTATAACATTTTTTTTAAAGATTATTTCTATCACAAATATTTTTTTTTTTTTTTTTTTTTTTTTTTGCACACTTTATGGACACCTTGTATATATTTACAAGCAATTGATAATGAATTAACAACAAAGGGTTACAAGTGAGACTGTGGGTGTAACAAATGAATGTGTAAACTTTTTGGTCCAAAGTACGTGTAGTGAGTGACTGTACATGTATGTAATGTTTATGCGTGTTCCAAAAGAAGGGATCAAGTTCTTCCGTTAGAAATTTACATGTTGACGTCTATGAGGAGAAATGAGACAAGATAATGCCGAGTATTTATAGTACCGGAAAGCGTCCCCTAGTAGCGGTTTCAAAAATTAGGAGGTAACCCGAAACTCAATTTCAAAGAAATTATTTGACAGTATCGACGCTTCATATTTGGTTGTCATAAAAAGAACATTAAAACGGCATTATTTTTTATTTCTTTTATTTATTACCTTCCATCTCGCTCCCCCGTCTCAGTTTAATTGGTAAAAGTGTATGCAAACTTTTTCCTTTGAGCCATGTTCTGGGTGATTCTACAAACTGGTTCAATGTGTCAAACTTTCAACTCGGTGACAATTAAATTCGTTATAAGTAATGGTTTCTGAGACTAAAATGGTCGAGTTTATAAATGATTTTCTAACTGCACTTTGGAGGTAGACTTAAAGATTGGCTCTCCTATAGATAGGCTACGTACCTCTCCGAGATCGCTAAAAAGAGTATAGCATGATGAAAAAGACGCCAAACTTGACGAAAACAATTTTCTCGTCTAAATGTTTTAAGAGGAAAGATCAAAGTATTTTTGGTATTTTTCGATTTTTTTTTTAATCGTTCCTAGCACGTCCGAAATTTTCGTTAAAAATCTATTTTTTTGAGTCAGCAAAATTGATCATTTTTTCCATTTTTAAAAAAAAACAAAACTGGAAATCTCAATTTGGTGCTTATAGTTTGTGCTGTTTTTGTAACTTGATCGCACCAATTCCTCGCTTACAGGGTAAACAAAGCCGCTCAGCTAGCAAGTATGTGCAGCAAGGAGGAACAAAGAACAGTGATCCGATCCCTCTGGTCGGAATGTGTCGGGGGCTGAAATCCATTTGTGGCTGAACAAGCGTGAAGCTCAAAGAAGCAGGACGTCCGTCAGCCTCCGCCACTGACGAGAATATTCAGCAACCTTGTGAGATGGTAATGTCGAACCGGTGAGTTATAATCGAAGAACTTGCATGTTCTCTGCAGATTCGGATCACTGTTCTTATTCCTCCTTGGTGCATACTGCCAGCGGAGCGGCCATGTTTACACTGTAACAGCAGGAAAAAACCTGACTCGTTCAGGCTCGAACTTCGGTCTCAGTAGTCCCAACATAGGCAGAAAGCAGTGTGACAACCTTAATGATGAAAATTGGGATTATTTTTTACTTATTTTCTGAGAATGGTCTCCTCCCCAAAAGACTTAGTCGCATAGCAAACACTCAATTTTAACTTCAACACATGAGGCTTACACACAATAACGAATCTCATGATTGGGTTTTCTTTCCATTTTCCTGTGTACATAGAAGAATTTCTCTTGTTTTCCAAAATAGATACAAAATCAGTATGCATATGTAATCACACGTATTCAAGTCATTTGTTTTGCAGATATTGAAATAATTTTAGAAAATCTGCACAAATTTTTAGCCATCCTTCCGTAAATGTATTTAGTTAATAAAGCGAATATTTAGATATCAATACATGTGCGTTGACAAGGGGGTTAATATTATAGATTTGACATCATATATAACAATAATTTAAAATTAAGCTAAATTTATTTCTGGCTGCGTATCTACTGAGGTGTCTAATACAAAGGGCGTCTTAATCGAAGGGTTGAAATTTTTCTCAATATGCAATAAATGGTGACCCCTTTAAAAAAGGGTCGAAATAGTACGAAGCTAAACAAGCTATGTTGGTAGAAAGACTTTCCACATACAGACGTAGTCGCAAATCTATTAGGAACCCAAGAATCCCAAATCGCCGCGGATGCAGTACGAATTAAAATCAGAATTTTTTTACATGCAAATTTTTTGTAGATATAGCTTATAGTACAGGGTGGTCCTAAAGTCTTGTCATCTCTACACGATATAATTTTCTATTTCATATGACTGATACTAGCTTTTACAAATTGAGAGATTGTTTAAATCAGTTTCGTTAATTTCTAACAAATTTAAATTCGCTTTCTGTTTAACATAACTGTTGATATTTAAAGTTGCATGACACAACTCTGGTAGCCTCTGACATTAATAATGTCTAGTCCATTTGAAAACTGAGACTACCAAACAAGCCAAGTTTTTGTTATCGTTGCATCTTCCAGGTCAAACTCAGTGTGTCTTTTAAACAAATCATTTAATACTGATCTTTTCAAGACTTATTCTTTCCTTAGTATACTTTATACATATATAACTAAAAATTATTCTCGAGCGTCATGAAAATGGCGTAGGTCATTTGTTTTAACGTGTGTAACTTTACTGTCTTCGTCAACTTTTCAACATTTTTCAGATTCGAAAAAAAAATATCTAAGTTTGCCAACTTCCAGTAATTTCAACCCCAAACCGTCATTAAATTCAAGAAAGATTTCTCTTTGCATTCTGTTAGAGGATCTTTAAACCCTTTTTTATGCTTCATGAAAATCAATTTTTTTTTTTTTTTTTTTTTTTCTTGTGCCTCGACCACGACCATTTCTACCTTCATAAATAATGGACTCTTCCGTCTTGATTTTGCGGAAAAACGGAAGTCATATCAGACGCTACATCGTTTCACTGATTCGTTTTTTGTTTGTTTACGGCATTTCAACCCTTTTTATAGCGGGAGAATTTATTTTTAGATAATGATTTAGTAATAAGTCTTAGTAAATAACCTGTGAGTGGGTTCATGGCATAAATTAGTATAACGAACACAGCTGGAATTTGAACTCTGATCTATGAACAATTCTTAGCCATTATCCATTACACCATCTGCACATCCAGGCTTTACTCCACCGGGTATATTCAAACGGTCACTCACCAAGTAATGACCAGGCTCGACATTGCTTAACGTCCGGTATCGTACGGGAACTGGTGTTTCAACGTGATATGGCCGTAAGCATTCGTTTCAATACGAAAATTTCGAACTTGCATACGAGTTCCAGTTGGTATTGATTGAGGCTGATTGCCATGGACTCTTCCATGAAAGCCAACCCGTTGAGAGTACAATTTTCACTATGACTGTAGAAAATTCAGAACATGATCGGTGATGACGAAACTGGTTATTCTGTCGTCTACTTAATATTCTTTTTGTCTGCATTTCTCCCTCTCCAGATGCTCGTTCTGATGTTAAATATCTTAACCTTTACCACAATGCGGGAGACAATAGTCGCCGTAGTTCTCTCCCTTTGCAACTCTAGACGCATTCTGTCGCCTTGATCCGGTTACTATAAAAACTTCCGATATTTTAAACTGGAAATCGCATACTACTGTTTTGGAACGAAACTAAACTTCCAACGCCATTTTGCATTTTCAACATTAGGAAACACGTCACTTTTTTGGCGAAATGAAAGCCTTTTGCTTCTTATTGCACCCCCAGATCTACACAGGAGTAATAAAAGTTAAAGTACATTAAGTTATTTATGCATTTTTTAATGTATGTTTTTATTTCGTGTTTCAATTTTTTTGTTTTTGAACGTCAAAACATGAATGCAAAACATAATGCCTTGCATGAAAATATTAGATTCATTCTTAGTGTACAAAACTTAAAATCTATATGTACAAATATAAAGAAAGCCATAATTTGAAAATGGTGGTTCATGATTTTTTACCCACAAAAAAAAAAAATGCAGTGGCAGGGGAGACAAGAAATTACCGTGGTAAAGCTTAATAAAAACTGATAATTTACTCGTATCCGATAATTTTTTGTAAAATTGCAATGCAATATTCATTAATAATCTTGACCTGATCGCTTCGCACTAAAACTAAAATATTTAAGAGGTATAATTATTTCAACATTTGAAGAATTCTTATACCTTTCGTAGATTACCTTTCCAAGGAATGTATATCAGATATGGTTGTGCTAAGTGGTCTGCTTTTACTTGTAGCATATTCCTGGCTTCATGCTCTCGACAGACCTGTAAAACTCTGTAGAAAAAAAAAATTCCGAATGCCCGTCTTCAAAGCTAGTAGGTCCACTTATGCAACTCTGAGAAACAGTATCACTGTTTAGTGCTCGATTTGATTTGACCTTGTATCTTAATTGTGAAGATAAATTTTAACTGGAAACTTGCCTTAAATTTATGTCTCTATTCTAAGACACCTGAAAATATTAACTGTCCGGAGATATATATATATATATATATATATATATATATATATATAATATATATATATATACACGAATCATTCATACAAAAACAGATTAGGGAAGTTAATGATATAAATGGCGAGAATACATCTTTGCAAACAAATTTATTAAAATTACATTAACCCACGAACCTCTAGATGAATGTTGTGATACCTGTTTTTAAATTCAACTTGTATAAGTTTTTTTTTTTTTTTTTTTTTTTTTTTTTTTGTAGTACTTTCATATGTTCATACAGACGTGTTATATATATATATATATGTCTCCTCCCTTCCCTTTCCTACATATCATTTCCGTTAAGTTACCCATCTAAATAGGTTAAGGTTCGATCACTCCTCCTACCCCAATATGCTTAAGAGATATGAAATTAACCCCTTTCTATACTCTACCTTGTCTCTTTAACTACAACTTTCACCCCCCTGTTCAATTACAAAAATTACACTACCCATCAATTTCTAATCCCATTTTTCCTTTCATTTCGTTGTTGGAATTGTTACCTGATGATCCGGAGTCCTTTTAAAAAGGATTTTGAAATAAATTATTGTAATGGTACCTTAAAGTGGTCTGTTTCTCATTAATTATATATATATATATAATGTGTGTTTATGTATAGGCAGGAGCTGTCCAGTTTGGATAGGCTAAAATCCTATCTGCGTCCTTGTGGGTGCTGAATTAATTCCACCCTACAAGCCCTTCCCCGCAAATGGAATAACGCAAGCCTCTCGCCGATTTGTCGTTATTTGCAAGGAAAGTATTCAGACGAACTGCATTCATGTAGGGGACCACCTTCATTACCTTCGTATTCCATTGGTGTTCCACCCGAGCAGTTTCTTCCCATGAGCAACAGTTTTGTAGAACTGGCTCCCAAGATTCTTACTCGACCATATTATTAACCTGTTAGTCTATCTTCCCCACATATGCTCATAAATTTTGCCGTGGACCTTGTATATGGTGAACATCATAAAAATAGACAATGTAAAGTGGTGTTTTAGTAAATATCTTTTAAACAATTTTGTGATGGAGATGGCGCAACTAATATTATGGAATTTTCCTTTGTCATGGCGCTTCAGATGGCATTACTTTTATTGGGATTGCCATGGGCTCTGGGTGTGTGTGGTGCGGGACAACGAAGTAGGTTTCCGTAGCCTTCAAATTTGGACTCGAATTTGCTTTACTGTTGGACTGGCTGCCATTCAAACCTCGAGACTTCAATCTCTCGTGCTATTTAATCCATAAGTAGGGAGAAAAGATTTCATTTCCGAAATAAATTAATGCTAACATGTATATAAAAACGTAAGCAGGAATTTGAACTCTACCGATACACCCCACAACACCTTTAACCGTTATGTAGCAAGTCTGCCAATTTATATGCATAATGCTGGGGGGAGGATATTATTTTTTTTTTTTGCTCCACAGCTGCCAGTCCTTTGTTAAAATGGCTACATATTTCGTTTAAAAAATGGATTTAAAATAAATCTGATTTTTTTTATTTCAAACGTTAATATGACGTCTTTGTAGACAACCCATTTGTTTTTATTTATTAAACAGGATTAATTAAATCTATCGGCCTACACATTCAAGAAACCTTTGCAAAATTAATCCTTTGCATGGACCGAATCCCTGTCCACACTTTATAGAGAACGCCAGAGCCACCAAGGTTCGTAGAACGCATTCTCTTTGTTTCTCGAATGCGCAGGTTGAAGTTAATGCGCTGTTTAATATACTTTAACTTTTTACAGCACTCTGGTTTTGGAAATCCTCACAGTATTTTATTTTTGTTGAAGTTATCGGCAACATTTTTGTCGAGATTTACAAAATTTTTTGTTCAATTTCGCAAACCAATGGATGGAATTTGAATACGATGATTTGGAAAAATACTCTGACGAAAACCCTAGTTCACGGTTTAATGATTTCTTTAATCTTGTATAATTACATGGTAAACAATATATTTTTAAATGTATTTTTCCTCTTTAATAACAACGAATATATATTTTAGGATTTCTTACCCTTGAGCATGCAACATACAACTGGCCATGCGTAAATATTTCTTTCTGGAGTAAAATTCCAACTTTTTGAAGTTCTGCGATCCATTTACTTAAGTTCACTAATTATGTTATGCGTTGATTTCTTCTGTACCTCTTGCCTTCAATATGTCCCCAGGGTATCAAATTTTCTAAGCCCTCTTTCCTCATGTGCCCTAGAAATTTCAACTGTTTATATCTGAAGTTGAGTTTAAGTGTCCTTTTCTTTTTTTTCTCCAGTTTTCTCTTGTTTTCACATGTTATCCTCACTATCCTTCTATAGAATCACATCAGTCATGTACAGGTGGTATAATGGCTCGGAATTGTTAATCGGAGAGTCGAGTTCCAATTCTACTTGGATCCGTTATATTCATTTACGTGCAAATACCTTTTGGGAAAGGTATGAATTCGCATCTTCTCCTAGCTATGGGTTAATTAGACTTTTTTCACAATTATACCCCCCCACAACCAAAAAAAAATTCTTCCAAACTAAAAATATTTTCTAACTTTTAATAACCTGCAAAGGGTCGATAAGCCTTTGAAACCGAATCAAGTCAAATCAGACATTCAGCTTCAAGACGTTATGAACGGCCATATTTGATCTCTTTTTTTTTTTTTTTTTTTTTTTTTTTTTTTTAACAAAATAGTCATTAAAATATTCATTTTTAAGTTTTTTTTTATACCACATTACATTTCTTACTCTTGAACATACAACTGGACATGTGTAAATATTTCTTTCCGGAGTAAAATTCAGACTTTTTGAAGCGTTTGACCTTGAGATTTGTTTATAGTTCTCGCCAGCACAGTTCGAATTGGAAACTGAATTCTTGTATATGAAAACTATATTATTTTGTTAATCATTAAATTGCTTTTAAAATAGTGGCCGTATTTTAAATGTTAAATAATAAAACTTAATTTTTTAAAACTTGATAAATTTATTTTAATAGGCGTATCCTAGTAAAACCAATAGCACTTTGTATCCCCCTTATCTGTTTGACCGATCGAAAATAAATTGAAGTGCAATGTATGGCTATTTTAAAATGCTGGACTAACGGAAGTCACAGAATGTTATAAATAGATAAAAATGGGCAGGTGATCTATTCCGAATATGAAGTAAACCCTACAATATCGTCTACGTAATCTTATTAAAAACGCAGATTGTGTGTGTCTGTATGTTTATATATTGGATTGGATTTCCTACATTTTTCAACCGATTTCAACAAAACTTCACAGGACTGCATAAAATTACATTGCGGTGGTTCTGACAGTGCCAAAAATTGGAAAAACACAATTGTTTTTGCACGAAATCAATTTGAAAACACAACACGATTCAGCCGCCAGAATGAAAGGGGAACAACTCATATGGAGTTTTACTTATTATAAAACCCAGGTTGGTTCTTTGTGTGTTGTTCATGTGATCGGATTTCTTACATTTTTTTCAACCAATTTCAACAAAACTTCACTTTTTTTTTCTTTTTTTTTTTTTTTGCAGGTAGTGTTTCTTGTCTTTTTTCTTTATTTTTTACATTCAGGATGCTTTAAAAATTCCACTTACAAGACAATTGTTTATAATAAAATTCTATTCAACCGAGACATAACGATTGAAAACAATGTTTGTTTTTTTTTTGGGGGGGGTGACTAATTCGTAAGGAAAAAAAAAAACTAATTAAGACATGCATGTCCGTCAACCTTAAATCTTTGTCAATTTTATTTTTCAGTCTTTATGATGGT